CCACATGCAAACCAGCCAGTTCTCGCCTCTCTAGGATGTTCCTTTTGACAGAAGAATAGTACGCAATGGCCAGCTCAATCCAGGGCATTGGAATTTGAAGACATCGCAGCCAATTCTTGCATCTACAAGAACAAACAATGGAGGCTGAAGTGGAATCCAGAAAAGCTTACCTTCCATATACCAACTTATAGCATGGAAGGAGAGTCCCGCAGCCAAGTTGTGACACAGACAGAGAGAGAGAGAGAGAGACAGACAGAGCTTGCAGCTCACAATCTGCCCTAAAAATTTGAACGTCATTAAAATCACATTGAAGCGTTGCCACTTGATCTATGCCGTCTATTTGAAGTTTTTGAATTTGAACCATTAGATTATAAGCATATTCATAAATAATATTCTAAAAATGGAATAAAAGACGCCGGATGCCATATGCCAATAGCACGTTTAAATAAGGGAGTAAGACTAGCAAAAGTCCCAGCTACGCTGGGAGCATCGTGTTTATTCTTGATATTTTAGTATTTCAAAAAGTTGAAATCATAATTATAATTTTAATATAATCATAATTATAACATACATAGTTAACATAACATAATATAATATTTATATTCAAAATCCCTTCTACAAATATAACATAATAAATAATATAATAAATTTAACTTATAACATAATATAACATTTAAAACTCTGAGTGCTGCATGATCTTCTATAAATGGAATTTTTCACTGTGGGATTCCATGGCCAGATAAGTCAATTAAAAATTGAGGCTTGGTAACTATTTTTTTATTTGAAATCTCCATATAATTGATCTACAATTTTTCCTCTTAATAAAAAATGTGTTTCTTAAGTACACTAAAGTATAATGATTTCAAAAATAAAGATTTAAAACTCACTTAAACTATATACATCTTATAAAATTAAAAAAATATAACAATTTTTATGGAATTTTATTTTTCATCTCTTTAGACTGAAAGTTTTGGAATTTCATGATACTAAGTGATAAAAATTACTTTTATGTGTTATATTTTTTAGAAGAATTTCAAAATTTTACATATTTATCTTTGATATT